CTGAGCCAAAGTCCCTGACCGCACTCGTTTCCAAAAGCGGCGAACATGTCCGTATCCGCGCCCTCGCGGTCTGAACTCCCAGGCGCGACCCCACGGATACGCAGCTGCACCGGTAACGTCCCGCGCGGGGCACGCGCGAAGAAACGCACCGTAGCACGAGGTCGCGGCTCGGGGGCCCGGCCCGCGAGGCCGCGGATGCGGACATGCGTTCCCCCCCCCGACGTTGCCCCCGGGCGAAGAGGGCTCCCTCCCCGAGTGGCGGGGCGTCGCGAGCCCGCGGCGCGGGCAGACCTCCAGAGGCGCCCGGCCCCCTCTCGGCTCACCTTAGGGAACCCTGGCATGAGGAGCCCAGGGCCTGAAAGCCGGTGGAACACGAATTGAGGCTTGGCCATGGACATCACAGCCGCTCCCACCTGAAAAGGAGCCCTCAAGGGTCTGAAGCCTCCTGGGCACATTCCTTAACGAACGCCCCCACCGCACAGCCCCTCAGTGCGACGCAGGCGTTTGGCGGTGCCCACAAGGAGGTGGCGCGAGGTGGGCGGCCTTTTCGGGGGTTTTCTAAGAAGCCGAGCTCTGACTCGCACGAAGAGCTTCGTGGCTGCAAGCCGGGGGCTGGACGTCGAACTGCCCCAGGGGCTGCAAGGAGCCAGGCGGGCTCCTGAGAGGCCCGCCTCCCTTCTTGGACACCACGCCGCCTCTTTAGCAGCCCACCTCACTCGCTCCACCCCCCTGTGAGCGCCGACGAGACGTTGTGATGGGGGGCCGACGCGGGCTGCGCGTTGTCGGTGGAGCTGAGCGGAGAAACACACACACACACACACACATTGGGATAACGCACGTCCTGCGTACCACCGACCCTCAGATGCTCGCTCTGGGGACCTTCCTGGAGCCACCCCACTCCACTCCTGCGATGATGCTGCGTCGAACGCCCGTCGACCGGACGCCTGGAGGTGCAAGGTCGACGCCTGGCCCCAAGAGAGCGGGCGAAGAGAGCGAGCCTCTTCGCCGAAAGCCCAAGGCCCCAAGGAGACGTCCCAAACTTAGGAGGCAACTACTGGGAGGTCTTCGTCGGAAGGATTGAGGAGGATTCCTAAGCCCCATTGGGGGGCTGCTACGCCGGATTAGGCCGCGGAGCGAGCGGGATTTAGCTGGATTAAGCAGGATCAAGCGGGATAAAGCGGGATTAAGCTGGATTGTAAGCCGGATTTCAGACCAGGGCAAAATCAGAATTTGACCTCCCAGGAACTGCATCCGAACCAAACCGCAGACTGCGTTACAAGGCGGAGAGCTCGAGCACGCAGAGTGGAATGGTACGCCCTCCAAGACCAGGATTGTCCTCAGCCGTGTGGCTCTCTCTGGCCGCCGAGCTCCTCAGACCCCCAGCATCGACTTTCTCACACAGCGTGCGCCCACAGAACTATCGGCCCCTCCCTCGGAGCCAGCTCCCCATCCTGGGACGTGTTGTGACGGACCCAGCGCCCAGTGAGGGCCACCAGAGGCCGAAAACTGCAAAATGAACCTTCCCTTAGCGCTTTCTGTTCACGACGTGAAGGGGGCACTGGTGCGCGGCTGCAGCGGGACGCGGGGGGCCCCCTTGCAGCCTCAGCTCCAAGGTCACTCTGGCGAAGGGTCGCTCTTACGCGCAGCCAAGGGGGTGGGCGAGGGGGAACAACAGGGAGGGAACGGCTCAGGGGATCGAACATTGACTTAGAATCGGCGATGGGTCGCCGATAAATCGGCGACAGGCTCTCGACGGCGAAACCCGAAGTCGCTGGGCGGGGTGTAGGCTATCAGGCCTCCATCGGTGATGGACGGGCGATCGGGGGTCGATGCATTCCCCCCTGAGCTGAGCCCCCTCCAACGTTGCCCCTG